CTCCAACATAGGAAAAACATTTGTAAGGCACACCAAAGTTTCTTCTTGGTTTGCAACCATTGCTCTGGAATAAAATGAGGCTAAGACAGCTGACTGGGATATATCCACCTAAGAACTGCTAATTAGTCTAAGGGCCGAGCAGACTAGTTGCACTTGAGGTGCTTAAATAAAAGTTCTGTGAGTAGAAATTCAAGTAGGCTATGGTTATGAAAAAACAAAACAAAACAAAACAAAACAAACAAACAAAAAAAAAAAACAGATTTTTGGTGGAGGCATAAATTCTAATCTGAAACTTCTTGGAGAATGGATTTAACCTAGTTTGGAGTTTTACCTTTAATACAAATGAATGCACAGATTTAAGTCTCCAGGATTTTCTATCTCTACAGCTTCTGGAAGTTTAAAAATACACACCATGGGCACTTGCTTCATCCTTTCTAAACTGGCAATTGTAATGGTTCCTTTAAGAAGCAAGCCAATGGATGCCATGGAAGACAGCAGTCACCTCCTACACCCCACGCCTCCAGACACCCAGGAAACATCTTGTGTATACTTAAGCTGTCGCTGACACACATAATTTCTTTTTCATTCTTGACTAATCAGTCTTGTTTGCCCCATTAGCAAAGAGAACAGTATATTTTTGAACATAAAAGATTGGCAAGAAAAGCAAAATAAAGACTCCCACAAAAAAATAAAATCTAGTGTAAATCTGTACAAATAGCAACAAATAAAAGATGGGGAAGGAAGGCACAGAAGTTTTAGACAAAAGGTATTTAACAAGTGCTGCCTGAGGATCCAAGCCCGTTGTGTAGTTTTAAATGCTTTCTTCCAAGCTCCGGGTATTTAGGGGTTAAGGGTAGTGACTGCAATCCTCTTGCTTTGGAGAAGTGGGATTAGTTTTGACATTTCAGGATTAAGGTCAGTTTCATCAACAGACTGCCACAATCTGTCAACACCACCCCCAGCTCTTCAAGCACCCTACTTCTGATCTTCAAATCCTCCTTGGGCTACTGTGGAGAGTATCTTCAGGGATCTTCTCTAAGATGAACATACTCACCCATAACCTTTCTTTTTATGAGACTCTAAGGACACAGAGGAGAGAAAGAAGTCTATACCAGTGATTGGGAAGATAGTGGTCCCATTCAGCACACAGCATGTACAACCATTGTTAAAGGACCTGGAAGCTTCCCCAAGAGGCTGAATCTATTTCCTCATCTCTTGGCTATGGACTGGTATGAGAATTATGTTTGTCAATATGATTTGTGGTGGAAGTGAGAAGTCTGTGTCTCAAGAGGATGTCAACAAACTCTAAATGGCTTTCTGTGGAAGGAAAAGTCATATGGGATCAGAGGGAGCCTTAGTAATAGATGGCCAATTGCTGCCCAGTGGGTCTACAGTTAACACAGTCTCAGACCAGGCAAGATTAGAACTCTCTGCCAGGCTTAGCTCAAATGCCACACCAAAGAACTGAGAGCTAAATAAATTATTTCATATTTTAAGGTACATTTTGTTATACAGCAATCTCTAAGAATTCTTAGCCTCCACTATATTTCTCATGTTGCCTCAGATCAGGTTTCTTGTATCATTGTATTGGAAAAAATAAGGGTTCTAGGCTGTGTTTGGAAACAACTATATGGTATAGCACTATTTGTTTCACACAGTAGCATAATGGCTCCTGGGATGAAAAAAGCAGTACTTGACTGAAGAGAACAGAACCACCGTTCCTCTGCTCTTGGTAAGACCACGTGGAAATACATAGAAATGGGTTAATAATTAAGACAGAGCTAGCCGATAAGAAACTAGTAATGGACCAACAGCATCATATCAAATAGAGTCTCTGTGTGTTAATTGGGGCTGGCACGGCGGCGGGACAAGACCAGCGGCAGGAGGAAAAACCTTAGTCCTTACACTTGACTTTAATGACATTTGCGGGACAGTCAGGGACTAACTAAACTTTACTGGTGAAAATATAGCACACTGACTACCAGTTAGGGCAGTGGAAATCCATGTGCTGTTCTAGTAGATTTCATAGGGATGTGGAACATAGATATAAAACCAACTTATCTACAGCTAAATGAAATCTTGTGCAAGCATCATATGCCCATATAAATGATGAGTAAGTTCTCTGATTAGAAATGACCAGAAAGATCTGTTTCTACTTCTAATGTTGCTGATTGTGCGCTGAAGTCTTATGTTGCATAGTATTGCATTCACAATGTACTACTAGGTAGTAGGAAACATAATGCCTTCTGCAAAAAAAAAAATTTTTTTTTTGTTTGTGGGAATATATAGTAATGCATGCCAGTGGAGGTAGGTAAGACTGGAGTTCCCTCAAGGACTAAATGCACAGCAATCTTACAACTTGACACATGGTGTCTTGCTCTCTACTGAAGAAAGCCAGGGTTTAAGTGCTAAGGGCACATTTTACAGAAGGATGGACTCAAAGAAAGAGAAGTAGGTGGAAGGCAGCCCTTTTCTCCAAGGCAGGGTTTAGGAGACAAGCTTGGGAGATGGTACACATTTCAGGAAGGGGTTTGTCTTAGATGAAACACCTCTAGACTGGGATGCCCAGACAGGTTTAAGGCAGCCAGTTTATTTGAGCAGGGTGTGGGAATCAGACAAAAAAAAAATGGCAGCCAATAAAGAAAGGGATCAATGTCATGTAAACTACCACATGAACAACTAGAGATTGATCCAGCTGAGGAATTCTCAGAGGCAACGTAGAACCCACCACAGAGAAGGGAAGCTGTCTATTCATCCATCCCCACCCATCCTTTCTTGCAGTCTCTATCTGAAGGCATGAAACTACTAAGTAATTTTTCCTAAATTTGTGTTTCCCCTGTTATATTCACAATATTTGTGGCATATGGGTCATAATAAAGCTTAGTGATTTTTTTTTTACAGCAAGTGAATGAAAGGTGGGTTCTGAAAGATCTGAGAGGCCATCATTTTTTCTTGCTGCTCAAGGAACTTAACATCTCTTGAAATTTCCTGGCTTGCTGAAGTGACAAAAGGCCCAACCTTGGGATGTTTTCTAAACACTTACAGAGTCATGCATATCTTGTTTGAATCCACCTTATCATTTACTAGCTGATACATCTTGTTCAAGTAAAGTTAGCAAAAGGGGACTAGCAATACTAAGTCTGCAGTTTTAAGAGAGTTTAATGAGTTAACATAGAATAGACAAAGCACAAAACACAGAGCTTGTGCTGTGCCTGATGGTCACAGAATATGCATTATCTTTTCTTTCTCTGCTGTCAGCCCTAGCATCAACTTGCTAATGAGACAGTGACACAAAATTGGGAAAAGCTAGTTAAAACAGATTTTAGGGATAAAAGAGAGAGCAGAAATGAAAATGGGCAGGAGAAGAGAAATGAGGGCAGCCACTAAAGCAAATGATTGCCATCCGTGAGTTGCCACATGAGCAACTGGAGTTGGATCCTGCTGGAGCACTTTGGGAGGCAAAAGGTTGATACTCACAGACTGTATTTTAGAGGATGTAAAATAGCGAGAACAGAGGGTTGGAGAGATGGCTCAGTGGTTAAGAGCACTGGCTTTGCTTCCAGAAATTTGGGTTCAGTCCCTCACTCCTACATTGTAACTCACAACCTTCTATAACTCTAGTCTTAGGGGATCCAACATCCTGTTTTGTGGGCAACAGTCATACACATGATGCATAGACATTTGTGCATACAAAGCACACGTATACATAAAATAAATAATTTTAAAAGAGAAATGAAAGATAAAAATTGTCAGGAGAGCAAGAAGAAAGCCCCCTGTGAAGAGGACACGGGGCAACTTCTGATTTCCTGTAGGAGGGTCTTTTGCCAGTGCCTGAATACGGGAAGGAGATTTAGCCTTTCCAGAGAGTTCTGTTGTTATATTACTAACACATTTCTTGAGTGGCTATATTATCTGTATAAGAGTCTTCCCTGGGACATCCATCCTCCATTAGTCAGAAGTAGCTGACTCTGTGAAAGCCAAGCCTAGATGAATGCAATTGTCAAAGCAAATATGCTGCCCAGAGCATCTGAAAGCAAACTGCCTGCACTCATCTTTCCTGTGAAAACCCACTCACTCCGGCTGAGAACAGATGGAGCTTGGCACATTCTGCACAGCCTGAATATTGACCCCCCTGTCAGTTCTGACATATGCAGTACATAATCACCTCTTCTTTTTTTAGCACCCTCCCTACTACCATCCTTTCAAGAAATAGATGTGCTCTTGCTGTTGCTCCTTTTGAAGAGGGTAAATCCTGCAAATACATCCTGACAAGGACTTATCATTGCTGTTTCTAATTCTTCACTGCCCTCATCAACCCCCTGGAGAGACTCCTGGGTAAAATTATCCACCCACCACCACCAACCTAGATAAATGCACTTGTATTACTACTATAGGTTATGGAGAGGAGTAGTGATGGTGGAGGAAGTGATAGGAGATGCTGGAGAGATAGTGCAGTGATGCACATGGTGGTGGCTATTGTGGTAACAGGGGCAGTGGCAATGGAGCTCTTTGTGTGTGTGTGTGTGTGTGTGATAAAGGTGATGGTGAAGGTAGAGAGAACAGACATGTCAGTTAAGATAATGAAGTGATACAGGCAGTAGGAAAAGCAGTAGTGTTAGGTTGGATGGTGGTTCAGTGGACATGGTGGCGTCAGAAACACAGTAGTGGCAAATGAATGGTTATAAGAGAATTAAGGACAGCTTCTCTCATAAGAACTTGTCTACAAATGTTCAAAGCATGATTGGCCAAAGGAGCTATAACATAGGTGTTCACTAACTGAAGAACATGTAAATAAATGCAGTATACACACATATTTCTAGAACAGGTTATATGAATGAAGACAAGTTGTTTGCTGTCATAGGGGTTGTGTTGAAATGAAATATCTTTGGTTTTACACCCAGGGTCCTAGTTAAATACAACCAGCTTCTTAGGACCAACTGAATAAAGTATATAGATGTTGTCTTCCAGTGTGAGTGTAACATCAGACAGGAGCCGATAGCTGGGGTCTATAATTTTTAATAATTTTAAACTAGCTACAAAATGTCAATCACTTCACAAACCAACAGAGGAGACAGGAGGGATTTAATATACATGCTGTAATGATATTTATCTCACAGTTTATCTATATTTCATTCATTTATATAATTTTTTAAAGGTTTCTTTATCAGCTACTAAACATCTCAGCAATTTGGTGTGCATAGCTCTAGATTAAGCAACAAAGAATTGTACTGATGACAAACCACAGGGTAATAGTGATCAACAAGAGTCAGACTTCGAAGATATACATCTTCACACTGTCCACAGCAAGAATGTTGTCTCCAAAACACATCTTTCAAAAGCAGAGAACAAACCCTATATTGCATCCATTTCACATAGTTTCAGCCAAACATATTTTGCTAGAAATGATTAAATGGTGTGTCAAATCCTTTGTTGTTGTTGTTAAAAAAAGAAAAAGGGATGATTACGACCAGTACGTCTGTATGTTGACAGCAAAAAAGTGACATAGCTTCAGGTTTTGCTGGTATGACTTAATCGTGACAGTGTCCCAATACTGAGCATGCGTTGTTGCTTTGTTATTGTTGCTGTTGTGTGTGTTTTCTTGTCAGTATGCTACTGTCATGGAAAGTTTTTGTTTAAGTAGGAGTCTAAAAATCTATTTAGTTCTCATGCATAAATGCATAAATCACATCACTTTTTAGTGCAATGCTTGTTATGTAATTTCACATTGTCTAATCATGAAATCATAAAGACAGATAATAGCCATGAAGAACCAAAGACAGCACATTTTGAGAGATTCAGAGCCTGACACCCAAAGGAAGGACCATGGCAGTAGCTCTGTGGAATGTCACAGTTTTACGAGAACAATACTGTGTATTGAGAGGATCAACAACACATTGAGCATTCCTAAATTGTTGTCATTCAGCAAACGCCACTGAGAAAACAAAAAATGAGACCCAAGACATCTTAGGTAGGGAATTAGAGCCACTGATGACTACTATGTACAACCTTTGGAAAGAAAGAGAGCCAGAGAGAACAAAAGACACAAAGTATCATTGGGAAGCTGACAGACCACACAGGACACTTACAATGGGGATGGTGTGTGTGTGTGTGTGTGTGTGTGTGTGTGTGTGTGTGTGTGCATGTGCGTGTGCATGTGTGTGTGTGTGTGTGTGTGTGTGTGTGTGTGTGTGTGTGTGTAAGACCTACTAGGTAATACCATGAGAAAAGCATGAAGGGGCTCTCTTGTCCAACAATATTTGGAGGAGAGAAGAGCAGGAGTGCTAATTTAACCACTCCCGAGCATCTTTGTTGCACGTTGGTTGGCTTCATCAATTCTGGTTTTGTTGGAATCAGCCTAGAAAAGAGAAGAGAAGAGAGGTCTTAGCTTACTCCTTAAAGTCCCATATACTGTCTGGGTCCACTCAAATTCTTCTTTTGTGAAACAACCTTGAAACGTCCCCATTCAGAATTATCATTTTTTTCTTTCTGTTTTTCCCCCAGGTTTATTGGCATGGCCTTAAGTGGACAAGGTCAGGGAAACTTGACTTGGATTTTCAAATACTTCTCTCACTGGGTAGCATCTGGATTTTAAGGACAGGGTTATATTATTTATCTTTCTATGCTGGGAAGGTACTCAATACTCAATGATTTCTGTGGAAACAGTCCTTTCTGTTTGACTGAACTGAACTGTCACCACTTTTTTTCTAGATCCTTCTTAGCTCGCTTATAGCAGCATCTGTTTGTGCCAATTGCATCTTAGGCCTCAACATTCTTGTTTAAGAGAAGGGCCTGGTGAGGAATAATACTAGTGATTGTGACAATGATGGTATTCTCCTCATTCAACCTGGATGGCATTAACCATTAGGCACAAATGATTATTTGCTACTTTTTCCAAGTAAAGAAACACAGCATATAGAAACACAGACAACTGTCTAGAGTCTCAGAAATTGAGGGAAAGTCAAAATGCAAGCAGCCTGGATTCAGAAACTATACTATTACTCCTCTGTAGACATTTCTTGTGATGTATTAATTGAACATACATATATAATGGACCTTAAAAATGTCTGTCCTAAGATTAAGTGCTTATTGTTACTGAGTTGAATTTTGGCATGCTTCAGGTTATTTACCAACATTTAAGACCTATTTTTTCTTTTCTTTTTTAAAAAATAGTTCAATCAAATTGATTCAATATTTTTTTACTGTTCTTGTTGGGACAGCCCCACATAGGAGGGTGCTGTCAATAAAGGCAGCAGCAACATTTAAGTGCCCTTTTTAAAGATCACTTCCATGAGTTTGATAACCAGCAAACCTTTTACAAAAGCACATTTGTCATAATTTTGTACCTTGTTCCCTTCAGCCTTAGGGTTGACTTATTCACTCTTTGGGTTAGGTCTTGCTGTCTATACAGCATGAAACCTGGGAATGCTACAATGTTAGACACTTAAACAGCAGGAAATTAACTGTTCCCATGGCCTTGACTGTGGAGAAAGGGAAGGCAGTAAGCAGAGGCTGTTGCTCTTTCCTGTCACAAGTGGTAATGTTGTTTGTAACTCCATAGCCTCGCAGAGAAAGTCAGTTTTTGATGAGCCATATTACTCACTGATGGAAGGCTCTGCACACACTTCTCCACTTTCCCATCTCTACTGCATAGGGTCTTCTATATTCAGTTTGAATTCGTGAATTCCTAGGACACTGGAATCATTCATATTCAAGCAGATTTGGAAAGTTGAACATATTTCTAGATTATTCACAACTAAATCATCTGGCCATGGTTTTCTTCCATCTGTTTGACTAATCAGGAGTTGGCAAAAATGAGTATTTACATCACAAGAGACAACACTGATTTGTCCTGATTATTCTGAACTATAGACACATATATTAGGCTCCCAAGATCCGCATTTGGAAAATGGATAATCCCTCCAATTTTATTTAGTATCCAAATCCTTCTGTACCTACAAACTATACCAGGAATAACCATAGTTTGGTGCAAAGGAAAATTACTAGCTCAGACCAATTTGAAATGTTCCTATAGAAAGAATTGTGCTGTTTCTAGACTGAGCATGGAAAAGCTGAAGTGAGAAAATAATCCACTTTAAAATAAATGTTATTTCTGAAGGCAAATGGAGGCTGTTTTGTTCATGAATGTACAGCCTGACCTTCCCAAGACAGCTACAGAGATATTTAAGTTGAGCAGAGTCTCTTCGTGGGAATAGTCTCAAAGGACAGGGTGGACCTGGGACACCTTCGTTCAATGGGTGCCTGTGACTTCCTTTCAAGTTCTCTCTGAAGCACATTCAAATTCCAGACCCATTATACATGACACAAAAGCACCACATGCTTTTTATGTTACATAAAAGAAATAGCACCCTTTAGGAAACCAAACCAAACCAAACCAACAACCACAATGAAATCAACAACAACAAAACCAACAGAATCTCCTCTTCCTGGGAAAATGCCTCTGATGCCTCTGTGTTCATCCTATTTATGTGCTTAGTTTTTTTTTTTTTTTTTTTTTTTTTTTTTTTTTTTTTTGTTGATGATGATGTTTGTTTGTTTTTTAATGGAGGCTATCCCACCCTAGTTTTCATGTTTGACTTTAGAGGATCCTAAGCTCAGTAATATATCCAATATGTGCTACGTGCTTTCCCTTTGTGAAATGGCCCAGGCATTGTTAGAAGCTACCGAGCCCATGTTTCAGAGCCCTTAACTTCATGGCAGGTGGTGTAGTAGCCCAGATCAGACATCTACAACTGTGCTTACTGCCATACACCAGCCTCCTCAGATTCCAGGGTTAAAATATTCTCCCATCTTTCAGGTTACAGAGTACCTGAACAACAAATTTAGTTTAGAAGTAATTGCCTTAGTTCTTGGGCTATATGTCTCCCATTGACAGAAGACCTCAAAGACTGCTCAGCCTGCAACCACACATCTACTTCCACAGGCTTTACCTTGAAGTTTGAGCATCTCTGTTACTTCCTTAGCATCAGTTTGCATAAAGCCTGGAATGGAAGCTTACTTCTAATTTCCAATTCTCTGGAAGAATGGGGTGCTCATAACTTTGGAAGACTGTACATATAAACACCTATAAGCAATGTCTTAAAAATCCACAAGAATGTATGAAAACAATGTTTCAAACTCCTCAGACTCTACTATCAACCCAAATCCTGATGAGAAGAAATCATGGCAGTAGAAGTGGGGTTAAGATCATGGATGGGGTTAGGAGAGAAGAGAATTCTCTTTGCTTTGCCTGCTGTGTGGTTTTAACTTAATCCTATACACTCAGAGGCTTTTGAATATAGTTATCAGAGACCAACACTTCCGTGAGGAGGGGAGATTCTGCTAATAATATTGCAGCTCTGTTTAAACTGTGTCCATATTGTGATTTTGGGGGGGGGAGGAGGAGGAATTTCTATTTCAAATGTGGACCAGGCAAAACTGTTTATTAAAAGGCAATTATACCTCTTCCCTCTATCTCAGTGACTCAGCAATCTAGGGTTGACGGAAGCCAGAGCAGCTATTTCCCATCAGGTTGCCTGGCTTTTCCTTAAACCTTTGTCCCTGTGTACACCTTTATCTGTAGCGCACAGCTTAATACCAAAGGTACTCACCATACTAGATAACTATACCTGCAGAGGTAACAGAATCATGAACTTTGCTGACTTTGCTGCCTTTTCAGGAGCTATAAATATTTAAAGTTCCAGTATTCAAAGGTTGACCCCATTATGTTGAACCCAGAATGGCTTTGTTGAGTTATCTGCTTGCTTTTGAGTCAATTTGGTTCACTGATTGAAAACAAGCACTTCCTATTTTCTCAGATTGTTTTCCTTCCACAAAACAGCTCAGCAATTATTTTTTTGTCCATTTTTCTTTTGGGGTATAATGGCTTATGTCTGGCTACATTGGTTTTAGGACCTTTTGAACCTTTCAACCCATTGGCTCTCACAGCATTAAAAGCTTTTTCATAGCAAAAGCTGCTTAGTCATGACAAGCACATTGTAACTTACAGATGAAAGCAGAGCACAAGCATTTTACCAGCCAGCTCTGATATTTTGTGTAGCTCAATTCTGGTAAGGCAAAATATTAAGTGATCAGATATTGTTTATTACTATTTCTTGTTTAATATTGTCTAGTCATCCCTTCAAGGCATTGAAGGATGCTTAGGTACCAAGAAACCACTATGAAGCTTTGTGACTTAAAAGATCTAAAAATGAACCCATTTTGTTCCTGGCAATGAAAAAGATATAAAGATTTCAAGATCTCAGATTAAGAACTTCCATGTCTCACAGAGAATAAACACAGCGTAAGAGTAGCTAGACAGAAATTAGACACGTAAAATCTTTATTAAAACACCTAAAGCACCCATTATCCCTATTGGTATTTGGGCAATTTAAAATATTATAATCAATATTCAACTTGCTACTACTTGGGATGGGGAAACTGTAGGGAAAGAGAGAGAATTGATGTCTGCTTTGTATGGTGAGGGTTTCATGGTTTTAGTGTCCTAATATGACTTTCTTGGCAGTGGGCAGTGTCTCATTTTCATGTGTTTTAAGTGCCTGGCACATGAAGAAATTTAGAAAAATATTGATTACATTTAATTGTTTGCTCTGGGACTAAAGGTATAGCTCATCTGTGGAGCAGTTTTCTATTATACACAGGGCCTATGCTCAATCCCTAGCATTGCAATAAATCAAAATCTGAACTACAGTCTAATCTCCATGCCAGTTCGGTTGCTGACTACCATGCTTTTGCCTTGAAATATTAAGGGCAAAATATCCAGGAACTAGTGTGTCTGGATGTAGTGTCCCTTTCCTAGTGGCAACCAGTAGTCACCGCCCAACCTTATAGATATGGGCTTACCTTCTCCATGATCCTGTCGATCTGGCGATTCTGGGTATCGATCTCATTGCCCATGTCTAGGGCCATATGACGAAGGTTGCCGATGATGCCGCTCACCTGCTCCAGGTTCTCATCCATTTCATTTTCCCGGGCATCGTTTGTTACCCTAGAAGCAAAAGAGCAATTTTGGAAGTCAGAGTGATAAGAAAGTTGGTATTAAGGAGTAGAGCTTGTGGGAAATCTGCAGACACCTAGCTATCTACCTTATTCTTATTCAATATACAAACACACCTTAACATCTATTTCAAATATAATTTTAAAAAAATTTTTTTAGCTCAAGGTGTGGCTTAATAGTAGAGTACATGTGTAGTGAGGTAGTCCTTCTGTAGCACTGACCACGCCCATTGGGGGGTGGAGCGATGGGCGGAGGTGACCTGAGGAAGGAGGCCGGAGGGGGCCAGGAAGGCGCTCTCTTTCTGGCGTGACTCGGACAGGAGAGGATCGGGTTGAATTTCCTGGTGTTCATCTGTCTAGGTTGTAAGTTATTTCTCCCTGAATAAACATCTATTCGGCCTATTTGTTTATCCTGATCCTTATTTACCGCAATACACATGCATACTTCTGTGCATAACCTGTAATTGGGAGCCTTGAATTCTTTCTCTGTATCTTTCTCTGATAAGGTTTGGCTATGAAGCCAAGGCTGGTAGAAATCTTGATTCACCTTCCTTGTCCTGCCCAGTATTGGTCTTGCAGGTATGCATCTCTACAGCTGCTTTGACTTTACAGTTCTGAAGAGAGCATATCAATTAAATTAAACACATTATTTACTTTTCTGATTTCTAAAACTACATCCTTTCCTCATTCTTCCATGTTTATTTTAGTTAGTAATTAATTAATTAATTAATTAATTAATTTTTTGAGATAGGGTTTCTATGTGTATCCCTGCCTGTCCTAGAACTTGCTCTGTAGACCAGGTTGGCTTCAAACTCAGAGATCTGCCTGACTCTGCCTCCAGAGTACTGGGATTAAAGACACTTATTTTTATTTGGTGTGTAATGTGTGTTTGGTGTTTGGTACCTGGTATGTGCCATGGTACCCATGTAAACATCCGAGTACAGCCTTGGGTATAAGTCCTGACTTTCTAACATGTCTCTTAGAGCATCTTGATCATCACTATGTATGCCATGTGTGTCATGTATGAACTTTTAGGACTTCTTCTGCCTATTTCCCCTATCAGCACAGGTACAATAGAATGATACATGTGCACTGCCACATCTGGTTTTCATGTGGCTTCTGGGCATCTGAACTTACTGGAGTGGCAAGTGTTTAATCCACTGAGCCATGTCTGAGCCACCTAATACCCTAATTTTATTTTTATCAAGATGAAATCATTTATTTTGAGGGGCTTTATGTCAGGAAATAGAGGCAGAATTAATTATATAAGGACCATTTTTTTTCTTTTTCTTTTTTCTGAAACATATATCTCCAAGATAAAAGAAGAAAATGATATAGAGAATCTCAGTACTTATTACTTTGCTTCTTGGAATGTGTATCAGTGTGAACATCAGCGATAACCTATTTGCCTCTTGATCCTGAGACCTTTGAAGAGATTCAAAGGGAACTGCTTTTTCAGGGTGATTCTTAATACATACATATGTTGATGTCACAGGTTTGGTAGGGGCATTGGAATGGTTACTTTTGGAGCAGAGAAATGTGTACCTGGTGGTTTCTGTTGAATGAATAGGAAAAGGAATGCAGGAGGAGGCTCACAAAACACTTTACCACATTTCCAAGGGCCAACTTGAAGGTTAAGAAGGCATTAATTATAGAATCCTTATCACAGTGATGAGCTAAAAACTAGAGGGTTAAACTCCTTCTCCCATGACAATTCCCAAAGCACATTGGCCTATTACGACTTTGTTCTTTTGTTCATTTTGTTTTGCTTGAAACCTTGTCTCCATGTATAGCCCAAGCTGACCTTGAGACTTCTGAATGCTAGGATTACAGTCCTATGCCACTATGCCTGGCTCCACTAAAATACATATTAGCCTAAACCAGAGAAAATTTAAAACTTAGAAGAGACCTCCTATCGTCGTTTCTATTTCATTTGAATGGTCATCAAGAATGAACGAGTTCCTGTAGTATAATCCTTTCCAGTTCTAATACATGGTGGGATCAAGCTTTACAAATCGTAGATGCTTGCATCAGTGTCAAGAGGTTTGGATTCAATTGCTTATACTGAGTATAGGCAAGTAGTCCCTCCATATTCCCTCCTCCTTTCTCCCTTTCTTCTGCATCTTCCTAGTTGATACTCATACAGGCACTGTTTTGAAAATCATTTAGATCCAGGATTAGATTGTTACCTGTAAAGCTACAGATGCATATCTAGACCCTATACCATATGAAGCACAGTAGTATTGGTTGGCCAACAACTACAATGATTTTGGAGTAGACAGTCATGAGGACATAAACTCTTACCTATGCTAAGTCTCCGTATAACAGTCTACATCAGTGGTTCTCAATCTTCCTAATGCTGCAACTCTTTAATACAGTTCTTCATGTTGTGGTGACCCACAGCCATAAAATCATTTTCACTCTTACTTTACAACTGTAATTTTGCTACTGTTAGGAAAATCATAATGTAAATATTTTGGGAGATAGAGGTTTGCCAAAGGAGTTGCTATCCACATGATAAGAGCCACTGATCTATATATAAGTAGTAGTCTAAATATGTCTTAATTGATATAGTTTGTGCTTTTTTTGACAAAATTAAGTTGTTGGGGTTAAGACAAAGGGATGCTAATGTGGAATGAACTAGGGATGGGGATCCAAAAATATAAGGACTATAATCTTTCCCTTTTCATTGGAAATATTTGGCTGTTTTTCCTCAGAGCCAAGGTATTGGCTGATTTATATATCTTGAGGAATTAAAATAGGTATTTAAATTGGTTTTTGCTTCTAGATCTCAAAAGAAGTGGTTAGTGTACATTGTACATCTTAATTTTTTTTTTCTTTCTTTTTGTCACCCAGATCAGTTCTTTGACCTTCCCTGTTCTGTGCCCTGAGAAGCTGACTGTTATTATTGTATAATTGGCTTTTTGATTGCTCTGACTTCCAATGGGCTTTGGATCATGGCCCAAGGGAGATTAGAGGACAAGAGAAGCAGGACTTGGGGCATTTCATACCCTTTCACATTCTAGTCAACTGTGGCTATGACTGGATTTCACTACCATAATACCCTTTTGTAGTTATAATTGTTGGGTTCTGGTAATAGTTCTTGCTCCTATCTCCTGAGGACTGAGTGGTAACAGCTTCCTGCTACTACTAGACTATAAATGCTACATCACTAATGCTACTTAACATGCCTCTATAACAGTCTGTTTAATAAGCTTGGCTTAAATAAACCCATGTCATGTAATGCCTTTCCATACCCACTCTGATTCTAAGTGGATCCCAAGATTTGTTTTAACTAGAGACACTCTGGCAAATAGCACCCAAAGCACAGTTTGGAAGGACATTGTGCCTCATCTCTTTGGCACACTGTCATCACCACGAAGAAATCTAAGCTCTTTGTTAGAAGACCTCATGAAGATAGATAGAAGACCTCATGGAGATGGATGGAAGTGCTTATAATGACAGCCCAGACAAAAACCAGATAAGTCAGTGAGGCTATCATGAATCCAGATCTAGCTTCATGAGTGAGTCCAAAAATATTCTTTGCGGAAGAAGATAAAATAGTCGAGTGCTGGTTATCCATCAACAGAGAACTCCAAGAAACTCACCTGCGGATGAAGCCACCACTGATGGCCATCTGCTCCCGTTCATCCACCACACGAGCAGGCTGGCTGGCCACTACTCCATCCTGGTTATTGCCCCAGGCCTTTTTGTAAGCATCACTGGATTTAAGCCTATGCAAAAAATTGGGTGAGTGACAAAGCACAGGGTGGAGCAGCAATCTCACAGAAATTACCAATTCTTTAAGCGAAGAACCGAACCAAGCGAATGAGTTTTAAATTGAGGCATCAGAGAATACCGATATATCATAATCTGGACCCAAACAGTTGGCCACCACCACACCTCAGCTATTCAGCATTTTATTTTCAATTGAGCCAATTGCAATGGTCAAGACTAATCTTTGGTTTGTTTTGTGGTTTAATTGGATTTAAGATAAGGCTTAAGATAGCTGCAGAACATTCAGTTCTATTTCAGTGACATGGTTATATTTTGAGACACAAAACACAGAAAAACATACTGGCAGACAGACACAAAACAAGACTGCCAAGTAGAGGGTGTACATCACACCACAGTAACACAGAATCGTTACAAAAAACACACATGACCAAGTTTTTTAACACATTGTCATGCAACGATCTCTGCTTAATATGTTTCCCCCAATGACTGTGTGAACTGCATTTCCAATACTTCATGTAAGACACAGAGGATCGGTGGTTGGCCAAGGGTGATGGTCTTTGGGTTGCCTCTACAGTGGTTTGAAATTGATAATATATCGGTACTTCCAAACAGTCACCATACATCTAGGGTTGATGTACAAACCTTTGTCCACAGAGACAAAAAGTAAAAGAAGCATAGTGAAATGAATGCAGGAAAATAGAAGAGAGAACAAGCCATCTAGCGCCAAAGAGGACCCCCGCCACCCTGTGTCTTCTTCATGCACCAGCTACAGGCATGAGTAGAAAGTGAAGCATTCTCATTTAAGCCAAACTACTCCAGAAGTTGACCATTCTCGAAATAGGCACTAGCAGGACAGTAATAGCCTTCGTGATGATTTGAAACGCAGTTCATTAGCTTCTTGGTTGGGCCAAAGGGCAGGCAGGGTGGTGTGCATACAGATTCCTACTTTAAACTATCCTGGGTTATGACATGGGAGAGTGGTGTGGAACTAATGTGGTCTCCATGGGCTACATTTCACTGACCTGCCTTGGAACAAAACTTAAAATCCAGGCATACCTGTTGTGCCCAATAGAAACATATAGAGCATATTTTTGTGATTGTGTTGTAATTTAAGGCAATCAAAGATGTTTCTAAGTTCTTTGCATAGTAGAAACCACATGCTATTGAGTCCAAGAACAACATACATCCTTTGGTCCCATTTCACAGTTTTTATTCTAAGACACCAAGATTTAACCCATTTCCCTGCTTCCTTCTCTCACTAGAGGGCCAAAGCCATCTCTTAAACTGGTTTTAATCCTTATAGACTGAGACCAGGAAACCATGGTGACAAACTGGGAAATGCACCAATGAGATTTCAGCAGCTCCCACAATTTACTGCCACAACTTACTGCACCACAGAGCACGGGCCCACTCCATGAATGATACAAGGCCAGAAAGCAAATTTTCCCAGTTAAGAGTTTGTCTCTCCACCCCACCTCCCCATTCTCTCTCTCTTTTTAGTTACAAGAAGCTGTTTGGACTTTTTGATGTTTTCTGCTATGTAAAATGTTTGGTATACCATCTTTGGCAAAGTCAAAGGAAAGGGAAATATGCGTTTCCAAAGAGAAGGCAAACCACTGCACCCACAACGCTGCACACACTCACATCACAGCCGTACATCTACCATAGTCCTTCGAAACATGCCGAGACAGGGCAAAGCCCCCGGAGATTCCAGGGCACCACCAGCCACTGCGTTGTGACACATGGTTTTTAAAGCATTATTTACACACATCAGGGAACACTTCACTCAAGCTTTGAAGCTCAATTAGGGTCTCTTTAGAATTAAGGAATTGGGGTCCACTTATACATGGATTTAGTAGGGGCCACATTTCTTCAGAACCTGTGGATCCACCTCAAGGAGCCCTGCCTCCGCCCATTTTTCACACGCAATTGATGGAGGGGGTGGGCATATATCTGTTGGCATTCACTCCAAATGTGGGGTAGGTTGGCTCTGAAAAGGGCTCACAGTCAAATCTTGACTAACTGGAATGCTTGCCCATGAGTCAAATCTTGACTAACTGGAATGCTTGCCCGTGAGTGAGAATTTGGAGAATTCTATGGTTTTACTAGTAAACAGTTGACTCTGGAGGAAAATTCTGTTTCAAGGGTAACTAGTAAATCTCTTTCTCAAATTCTTGACCTATTTTTCTGTTCAGAGGCTTTGGGTATGGGCACAACCCAGTCTTCCTACAGGTATGGCTATGTTTGATGACCTTTTCAAACCAGTTCTAATTTACCACTTATTTACTTCTCCATAGGTAGAGATTGTAGAATAGAGATGACTTGAGACACTACAAATGAGCTGGGTGTCCTGTAAAATAAGACATTTCAAACCTGATCTGACTGCCCCCCTCTACTTTTGTTGGCTAAAAACAGAAAGAGGGAAAAAGGTTTTGCAGCTAAGGAGTCTAGTTAGCTGGATTCCAGTTAGCCAGGCTTTACTGTAGAGCATTCTTCTTTTTTTTTTTTTTTTAATTTTTTTTAACAATACAAAAATCCTTGGTTTTTATTTATTGGTAAAATGAGCCCCTCCCCCTCCTAAGCAGGAAGTGGGATATTTCAAATCAGCCTCAAAGTTTAAAGGATGTGAATGGTCATATAATCTACTCAAAATGACATCAATTTCTATTCTAAAAGCTAGGATCAAGAGAGCTTTTGGGTAAAAGGCTTCGTTTAAAAGGGAAAGGAGGAAGGGTGAGGGAGATCAGGTAATGAGTTTAATTTTCCAAATGCATGTTGGGCAATCCACTCATGCATTTCCCCCCTACAGCTAGCCAAATGAGACTATCTTCCAAAACCCTTAAGATTTTGGGTTCTTTCTGTTGCAAACCTCTATAACCACATGTCACATTTCTGCTACATTCCAAAAAAAGCGTTGCAGAACCTTGAGAACAGTTAAATGTTTTGTGATGTCGTGCATGCAAAATCTACACATTTCAACATTTCAGCCAGTGTACGGGCAGATCTTCCAAGAGGAAGTGTTGGAGGAATTGGGTTCAATTAAGTATGGGCACTATTGCTTCTTAATGAAGAGGATGCCTTTGCATTGGGTGAGTCTATAGTACCTCATGACCAAATGCAGGAGCTGGTGAGCAGTCAAGAGGGAATCTGCCATATGTTTTGACTTGGAGATGTTTACCTGGGCCAAATTAGCCTGTCTTTTTTACTTCCAAGAAAGAAAAAAAAATCAAACCTTGATACATGCATTTCTAATCCTCTACACTTACTCAAAGTCTTTTCTAAATCTACAATTTTCATTCTTGTGATTGAGGAAAACAATGTGCCCCAAATGCCTCTGTCTCAAAGTACACTTTCTGAAAAATGTTGAAACGTTCATCAATAAAACTTGCTGACAGTGAGGCTTCCACTGTAGTATGCCTGATTTTTAATGCATCAACAGTAATTCCCACTAGTATTATCTATGCTATGAGATGAATGCATTGGAGACGGTATTGATCTGTTCTGCATGCCACATGCTCATCCTGCCTATGAGCCTGCAGGAATGAGCTAGTCAAGGCTTGGAGATGAGCCTTGGGAAAACCAAAGCTTCAGGCAGGCAGGCAGCACCTACTTGTTACAGGGACACACACAAAGCCCGCAGAATTTTCCTAGGTCCGTCAAATTCTTTTCTGCTTCTTTCATGTCCTTATTGATTTGGTCCATCCCTTCCTCAATGCGTTCCAGTTGTTCTGATTAAACACAAGTATTTTATCCCCACAGAATGAAGCAGATGGAAAAGGACAAAGAAAAAAAAGACAAAACTTCAGACATTCACTTTGACGTTAAAAAAAAAAAAAAAAAACAAAAAAGAAAAGAAAGAAAGAAAACTGGACGCCACAGATTAGAGCTGGTACCCAGTACCTACTTGTTACAAGGACATATGAAAAGGCCACAGCATTTCCCTAAATCTTTTAAATTTTTCTCGGCCTCCTTCATGTCTTGGTTGATATGGTTCATGCCTTCTTCGACACGATCGAGTTGTTCTGGTTAGGACAAAGGGATGATAGTGTGGAATGAATTTTTTGGGGGTTTCCAACAGAACATGAGAAATGACTATGTGAAACAGAATTAGAGAGAAAGAGAGAGAGACAGACAGAGAGAGAGAGAGAGAGAGAGATTGAGATTACAATGCATTGTCCAAGAGGATGCATTGCTGTAGACGACTGCTGCTGCCCTAAATAGACATGGATGGAAGGAAATGAACAAGAACGATGCTCAAAATAGTTTGCAGTTCAGACATGATGGGATGAGATCAGAAGGTCTATTTGATTTTGTGTATCCAGGGAAATAGCAGTGTATTGACTAAGACACAAGTGAAACCCAAGAGAAAGAAAAACAGGGTGTTAATTTATATTTAAGGGGCTCGCATTCCATGCTTCGAGAAAGATTATCTGCTCCAATTTTAAAATATCTGTATCTTTTGGCTTTTAAGTGTCCCCTCCCCCAAAAAAGGAGGAAATGGAATGTGTTTTCTTTTTGGAGGTAAACAATAGAAGAGTAAGCAGGAATAGACATGGCTGTGAGTTTCTGCTCTTTCCTTAGCAGTGGCTGTACAGCTAGAGGTAGCCAAAGGTCTGTTCTTGGTTTTCCTTATTTAATTCATAGAAGCTGGAAAAGAAGGCAACATCAGCACAGCAATACTGTAAGTCCCAAAACATTTGAATTCATTTCTTACCCTGTGAGTGACTTGCTACAAAAGCTGGGAAAGACATTTTATTCTTCTGCCCTGGTTACCTAGTGTCTACGATGTGGACCTGCTAACTACTGACCTGGTGATCAAACAAGGAGAATGTGTGTCTCTTTGTAGGAGGGGCAGTGAATTGGCACACAGAATGGCACTGTGCCATTGCTACAAAGAAATATGAGTCTACACAGCTTGATACTCATAAAAATGAATCAGTTCTAGGTTGCCAGGGTTACATAAACCAAATTGATTAATTTCTCAAATGTGTCACCAAATTAGGGTAACTGCAAGTTTAATGAAGGGGGTTTGTCAAGTAGCTTTTAAGACCATTAAATGAGAAGTGCAATATGATGTTTTGGCTGTCTAATTATGATGTCCAGTTACATGCCAGTCCTCCTTTTGTCTGTATTTTCATGCATACATTGGTGATTGCACCTCTAGAAGTAAAGTCATACCTAGGGTACAACTCATGAGCACATTTCTAGCCTAAAGGCCTACACAATCACCTGAAAACCATTTGACATAAGTGTATGATGTGGAAACTGTCACTGTAAGATCTAAACGAGGCTCACCAGTGACTCAGGTAGGGAAAGCATGAATCTGGATAATAAAAGATTATTTTTGTTCTCTTTGGCAGGGATAAAGAAGAAATTGTTACTGATTAGGTCTCTGCTGTCTGTGCTATGTTTTTCAGAAGCAGATGGAAACATGGCAGTATTTATTCAGCATGGAGGGACAATAGTGCCATTCTTCTGTCTACTGCACAGAGACAGGAATGTCCTGGAAATCTTTATATGAAAGAAGATTTTTCTCCCCTTTCCCTCACATTTGAGGGAACTTTCTTTTCACCTGTCTTCTTTCTGGTTTGTTTGCCTTTTGACACAGGATCTTCCTCTGGAGTCCAGCATCCTAAGTACATGCCAAACTTGATTTTTTTCAAACTAATGACTTAACTCCAGTTTCCTTTTGAGAACATAATAAATCAGTTTGTGAATCAAGTACAATATTTGAGTGAAAGGGCTAGGGTGTAATGTAAAAGTCACAGGGTTTTCTTGAAACCTTTAAATTTTTCTTGGCCTCCTATATGTCTTGGTTGACACGGTTCATGCTTTTATCAATATGTCATTAAATGATGAATCATCATGCATACAGATAGAAATAAAGATGTTGGTTCAAATCAAAGAATTGCTGATAGCTTGAAGAATGCTGTGTTAGGATGGATTTAAGGAGGTACCTGGGCTCAAAGGGCAAATTCACTGCAGGGCACAAACATTGGTGGCGATGCACTTTCTGAAGGGATGCATCTTCCTTCAGATGATTGTACTTCCTGTTGCATTTTTCTTAAGTTAGAAAACAATGAATACATATTTTGGTTTTGAAAAAAAATCACGACTCTCTGACAAGATTTCAAAACCCTGGTGGTTCTGAGAACAGGGGGTAATACATATCTGTGAACTGACCTTGAAGTGTCAGACCTATGAGTTAGGTAATTGAAAGATAAACATGAATACATCCATGAAAGCTGCATTCTGCTATGGACTTCCAGCTTTGTTGGCAAAGGTTTGACTGCAAGGGAAAAATCTGATGGATGAATCTGATTTTAACAAAGCCTAGAACTATTTTATGCAGGTGTTCTGGCTACAAAATTAACTTTACTGTGCTAAGTTGTATTTATTTGTGGGCATGTTTGACACATTAAGACTTGGTAGCCTTAGAATAATTTCTGTGAAGCATGAACAGGAAGTTCTTGAGAACATTCATGTCTTCATTTCATTCATCCTCATGCAGGGCTTCCTCTGTGAGGGTCTCATTCATACTGCACAGGGTTGACTATGTCTTCTGCTTTTGTGTTTGTTCTTGGAGGCTGAGAAGAGAACGGTTTTTTTTTGTTTTTTTGTTTTTTTTTTTTTTTTTTTTTTTTGTCACGAGAGTCTTCTGGTCTTCTAGTGGGCAACACTGCATGTTGTTAGCATAGACTGAAACAATTTTTTTTTTTTGCCATGATGTTTGAGTGATCAGTTGTCTCTGATAGATTCACCAGTAGAAGATAGAGTTTTAGGGATTTGCTTAGACATCTTTTCTAATATTGCCATTTAAGTAGAGGAATATAAGACCCTTAGAATATTGGGCCTGGTCCTAAAGTAAAACACAGTGCTTTAACTAGTATGCAAACCTTCATACTGATATCCACTTAGAAGAAACTGCCTATATGAATTCCCCTTTCCTTAACATTGTTGAACACTGTGACATTAATTTAAATATAGCGAGATAACCATATATCCATCGTGACTACCACATTGGAAAGCCTGAGCTATTCTGAACTAGGGTTGGTGAGTGGATTAGCAAGGGGGTACAGTATTTTGTCAAAAGCTTCTTTGTAGTGCCATTAACTTTAAGATGGTTGTATGGACCCTTAGATTGGTCTTTTTTCTTGTCAGAGACTTTACTATTTAATTTAGAGCTCATTACAGTAGATTCCCAAAGAGCTTGGCCTGAGTCATCAAAACAAACAACCCAGAAAAGGCTAACAAAAGAAATAAAAGACATGGAAGTGAAAAGTTAGATTATCCCTGTTAATACAGAGCTGTCAGGGCATTTTTCTGGGAGACATCATTTTAAGGGGAACAAAAGTCCCAGGCTCTGTATGTGTCTAGAGTTGTCTGCCATGCATGGTGCTCCTTGGTGTCCCCTAATACCTGGGTCTAAAACAAGAATCCTATAAGGAACGTCTCAGTGCAACTGTTCAGTTGGACAAGCTGCAGCGGTCTGGCCTGCCTCCATAGCAGGTGCAATGATTCTCTAGGAAGATGGTTGTTGCTTGTGGTTCCTTGAGCAGCTGCGAGGTAGAAATAGTTAATACTCTGGATGTTAGGCATAGACAAAAGTAGGACAGCATAAACTGAAGAGAAATGAAAAGCAGTTACCGATCTCAACAAGTAAACATTGCACAAGCAGAATTAAATATGCTGATTAAGAGGCAAGGAAGATAGTGGTGGGCACACTCATCTGTCACTTGCTAAGCACCTAAATTCCTAGTAAATATGAAATGTGTACCCCTTAAGACAAGCCCCAGACCATTCACTTTTGGAGATTTACAATTGTAATCTTTATTTATTTATTTTAGGCATGAGATTTTTATTACACATCTCACACAACACAAGCTCTCATGGGAAATATGCTTACCCAAATGTTCCAGCTGAAAACATTTACTATCCTGTGGGGAGCAAATCTGTTCTTTGTTTTTTAGATAATAATATCTAGATGCTTTGGGAATTATGCTTAAGAATTGTGAACTTTTGTATATGTATGGGGATTTTGGCACATTGTACCTTTAGATTTTCTTCATCAAAGTACAAGGATCTTTTGCAATTCAGGTGAGCAAGCTATTCTCTTTCTACCCCTCTCCCTCTCTTTTCATCTACTATACTGGGGTCTGAAGTAAGAACCTCATTGTAACTTTGCAACTTAGCTATATCCTCAGCCTTTGGCTCTCAGACTCCATGTCTCCATCTATTGCTTTCCATATCATGTCTTTATGTCAGTACTTGATCAGGAAGGAAGAAGACATTATCCCAAGATTCCCTGCTGATGTAAAGTTCCTTTCCCAACACTGCTGCCTATTAACAGAAAGAGCTGGTTTGTCACTCTTCCATGTTGGCACCTTATGTGTCACAACTTTTCAAGCAATGACTTGCTGCACCCCACATTTCAGAGTTGAGACATTGCTACTCAGATCAAACCAGCAAGAATTATAACAAATCTCAAGACTGACCCTTTAGAACAGAAGTCAACTAGACTTTAGAGTTTTTAACAAACTACAAATTAGTTCAAATAGCAGTGAAAGAAAAGTGAGGATCTTGGTGTTTGATTCTTTTTGCCCCTATTTTTATAATTATTTGATGTATATTCTTTAAAAAGTTTAGCATGAATTAATTTTATAGAAACAAAAGCCCCTTTGTGATAGTATTGGGAGCAACCTATCAGAGAAGTGGGGTGTAGCTTTGTATCTATGAGATGCACAGCATTCATACTAAGGTCATGCTTTTTCAAGATGCTACAAGTTAATATCCAGGTATGGGGGGGGGCTGCCAGGTTTGTGGCTTTCCTGCTCAACCTGGTCTTCTCTTCTTTACTTGGGAGTGGCAATCTTAGTTCTGGGGCACCCCAATAACCTAGCTGAGACCTTCTCAGAACAGTTCTTTGTTTTGGGGCTTCTCTCACACTAGTCTCCTTTTCTTTCTAGCTCCTTTTCCAGGTGTTAGACCCATATGAAAGTCTGAAGGCTCTTACTATCACATTCAGCTGCCGTGGGCTTTTACTATCTATATCCATCCATCAGGTATTTCCCAATAAATTTCAAATGATTCTATTTGCTCCTCAAAACACTTCAAATGCTTTCTCTTTTCTTACTCTAACTTTAACTCTCTAGAAGTCATTAAACACTTAAGCACTGTGTTGATGGAAGTACATCTCTTCATGGCCATAACATAGCTGACTTAGTTGATCTCTCCACTGACAAACATTTAAATTATTCCTAGTCTTATATGACTACAAGTAAAGCATATTCATTTTTCTTCACATAATTTTAAATGATTAATTGCAGTACAAAGCCCTAGGAATGCAATGTTTTGGTCAAACATAGGTGACTTCAAAACTGAAGATATAATTATCAAATTGTTGCTTATAACACATGTATCAACCCACAGCAATCATGTGTAAATTAAGAGTTCCTATTTTCCCAACATATTATGTCATTGTTTGTTATCAGTTTTTAAAATTTGAATCAACTTGCTAAAAACTGGCATGCCATTATCACTGTTGGTTGAGAGAATATTTTTCATGTCTACTTGCAAACTGAAGCTTTATATCTTAGTCCCATTTTTTAAAAATGTTGTTTCCTTTTGATAATATGCAGAGACTTTCTATATTTTGGGAAAAATATTTTATATCAGACTATCAGCATGGCAATTTTCCTCTCAGTTTGAAATTTGAGCTTGATGTTTACCATAGCCTTGCTGGAATGGGTTTTACATTTTTATATTTGCCACTAGAACAACAATCACAATCATAATTTTTTCTAATGCCTTTACAAAGTATGAAAATGTTCAAGTATCTAATTATTACAAAAATTCAAAATGGAAACAGATAAAGAACTTGTGGCTAGAATTATGTACATTATCACTATATTGCTAGGTGTTTTGAGTCAAAGGAAAATATGAGATTGCCCTTATAGTTTCTACTTTATTTTGTAGAGATGATATACTAACATCCTGAATGTGAGTTTTGTTGCTCCTAGACTTTCAAAAAATGCCCTTAAAATAGCTCAAATATTATGATTGCTTAAAAAATAATTTTTAGTTATTTCAGGGAACCTCTGTAGTGACTTAAAAAACCAAAACTCCAAGACACTAAATTTGGATAGTCAGGAGAAATGTATAATCTCATATATTATACCCCTTAACTTGAATATTATTGGAAGGAAACTAAATTTATTGGGAAAAGTTGATAGTAAGAAGAATAGAAAAATTGTCAACACTGTCTAATATATTGTCTTTTAAGAAACACACATAGATTTTGCTTTTAAAATTTGGTATATCAATGTACATAGAGACATCAGTATCATTAATTAAGTCACAAAGAAGGCCTTGGAATCCCCACATTCAATAATCTCAACAGAGAAAGAAAATTAGGAAGATAAACTTTCTAGGACCCTTACACTTGTAACACATGCAGAATGGCCACCTGAAGGTGCACAACATATTAAACACTCCAATTTTATTCAGTTGAAGAATTGTTCTTACTGAAGAAATCTGAACTTACCTCCTTGTTCATCCAACATAACCAAAGTCCTGATACCAGCATCTTTACTCTACATTCCAATAATGGTAGCAAAGTTGAAAAGGAGTTAGAAAGAGAAAAGAGAAAGAGAAATCAGTAAGGAGACAATTATCCCTAAATATGGAAAATGAAGAAGGACCAAAGGGACACAATGGGAAGATACATGACAAGAGAATTAAGGGGCTAGCAAGGGACCAGAGGAATTGGGTAAAGGGTGAACTTTATCAGTGACTCTCAGAACCACGAGGACAGACATGCAGAAAACCCTCCATAAGGTGGGCCTGTGTCCTTCAATTCAGTAAGTGTGAATTAGAATGTGTGTACTTAATACCATATGATCATTTTATAACTGTAGAGTTAAAGCAACATTTTATCAGTCTTCTAGGTTGATTTTCTTCTCTGGCAAGTTTAATCAAAAGTGCCCATTAATGGCCAGGGGAGATACATAAGGGAGATACATAAGGATCTTAGAGTCCTGGTGCTTAGATTTATTACAAAAGAGTGTGACTTTCCAGAAGCTGAGAATCACATCTCAAAAGGAAACTGACTTTCTGATTTTGATCTGTGGAGAGAAATTCTTCAAGATCTGGGGGACTGATTGATATCAGAAAATATTTCGCTCTGAAATCCACAGTTCTGTATAATGATTCAGTATGAGAAAACCACTCCTCTCTGGGGGCATTGCAGTTACTTTTTTGCAGCAATCTCTAGAAACACACCTCCTCTCATTGCTTTTTATCAATACAGACCAAGCCTACCTAGCTTACTGGGAGGAGGGGAATGGGAGTAAGTGGGGGAAGAAGAGTTGAAGATACTGTCTTATTTGAGTTGGGTGTTTCCATGTCTAGGAACCTAACCTGCTCTACTGCATGCTACAGGGGGACTCACACTGACCAGAGAGATTATAGAGCACAAAAGGCATCTTGAAGTCTTTAAGTTTATTGTGAGTGGACATCCATCTACCCTAAGTCCACATTTTAATGATCCTTTCTTTTGCACTAGTTAGCCATTGCTTAAGAGACAGTATAATGAAAAGCAGGTAGCTTATTCAGGCATATGGATCTGACAGTGTGGAACCATGTCAGAGAACATTTTCTGCTCAAAGATCCTGTTCCATTCTTCTGGGTACAGAAGATGGAGAAAAGCTAGTGACTTTTTATCACTCCAATTCTCATCTATTTATATATCACATAATTTGATGATGTATAACGAATATCACTTATTTGTATGATGACCTACAAGTGTAAGTTTACATTTTTCTAATTAGATGTTGCATGTTTCAAAACTAGAACTGAACTAAATGGAAGGAGCAAGAGTGTTTGACACTGTCCTAGTTGGGGAGAACATAAGCAGAAAGGGTTGGCCTGGGAGTCAGAAAAGTTGGGTTGTGTTGGAAGGTTGGGTGACTCTTTCACAGTCTCACCATTTCCTATACTAAAAGTAGGGCCAGAGACACAAAGTAAGAGCTTGTGTTTGGTGTATTTATCTCTTTTTATCCCCTTTCCTTCCATTCACTATTATTTCATTTATGTGTTTTTTCATTCATTTATTCAATAAATGTGTACTAGATAGCTACTCTGTCCCAGACATTAAGAATAAGGGATAGAAAAATGTATAGCTTGTCTCTCAATGGTATTTCTCTGTTTTAGAAAGAACTTGATCAATGGGATTGGATTCAATAAATGATTCTAAATTCCAGATCTCTCTTTGAAGTCTTGCTGCTCCAATCTCTACTGTCCTATGTCTCAGCTCACCATGTGGTCATATTGGGACAGTAAGAGCTCTCTTACATCCTACTGTAATAATACGGATGAAACGGCCTCTATACAGTATAGCCATCTCAAAGCTAATTCAGTTTATGGATGACTGAGTTGGATTCAATAGGGAATACATTCCAACGCTGGATTTGATTAAAAGGGAATCTCAGCATGTTTAGATGGGCTTCTATCCTCAGATCAACTTGCTTGATGTGGAATTCTCAAAGGAAAAGAAAGTTTTGGCAGGATGAAACTCAAGTGCTATATGTAGGAACCCATACTCTGAAATAGGGATCATGAAGATCATGTCTACAATTCCCTGCTGTGTCTCAAGAAAGCCACATAACAGCTGAATATCTAAAAGCCCTATGAATTAAAGAGGAAAATAAAGACAGTAGTAAAATGTGGCTATGTGTTAAATTAGCTAACATGTATTTGATTATAATGGTGATAATGATAGCTCTAAGCTCAATTGCTGGCACATGGTAGGTTCTCAATAAAGGTTTGAACTTAAATTTGGTTCCATTATTTTGCAGATGGCTTTATCAAAATAACTGTGTTGTTCTTATGAGATCTAGAAGACAGAGTGATAGAGATGGGGAAAATACTTCAAAGGAAGCAGAATATTACTCTCTCCAATACCTGGAAGACTTGTGTACTTTAAAGCCTAGATTGAGAGTGAGAGGAAGTGGCTCTAGTTTTACCTGAGCTCATTTTTTCATTTGGGTTTGACTTTGCTGGGGAAGTAGCCCATCTAAAAGGAGTTGGAAATGCTTCTTTTTATTTCTTTCTTTTGTGAATTATTTTTATTTTTAAAATGTGTTGATAAATTTATTTAGCCAATTGACCAAGTCAATATTTGTAGAATATTTTGTTTCTGTCCTTTTGGGGTACTTTCTCCAAACTTCAAGGCATCTTCCCTAAAACCTGAACATCCAGGCACTTTCTTGGACTCTGAAGGATGTCACATCTGCTTATTAAAAAGAACTGCCAACTTGATTTGATAAAATTTTGAACCAAAAGTCTCATATCTCCATCTGTGGCTTTTGCATGATTCTTTCCTTTTTATTGCCAAAGCATTTTGAAAGATAAGCTGGTATATAAAGAGATATGATGCTAGGACATTCATGAAATATTAGTGTTTCAGGAACTATTTCAAGCAGGCTCCGTGGTACTTTCAAATTTGCCTGCTTAAAGCAGTCTGACCTATACTGGCTCAAGCCTCATAGCACAAGACATTTTTACATTTAGCATCAGTACACTTAACATTTTTCTTCTCAAATATTTTATTCTGGAGAACATCTTAATGATTATCCTCCTAGATTTATTTTTCTCTCTTTTATTCTCCCAAGGCATGTATGGTCTTGCAGTAAACAATTTGTATTTTCTCTCCTGTCTCCAATGTTAGGTATTACATAAATATCCACTAAAATATATACACCCAAAGTAAGTTCCCAACTCCAGGCTGTGAACCGAGTGCTACCAAGTCTCTAACCTTTGTACTTGTTGTTGATATTTAGCTTTTCTGAAACTTCCCTCACTGACCTCTGAGTAACTTTAGATCATCCTTGAAATGCTGATGGTGACTTCTATTAAAATCCAGCTCCCCAAACTCCTCTGCTGTTTTACTATGGAGTTTATTAGGGATAGTGTAAAGCTGTACTTTCATGGGAAGCAGTCTATTTGCCTTAGGGAGACTTCCCAATTCCAGCAACCTTTCCTGTCTTTGAAACTGAATTCAATAAAAGTTTAGTTCAATTCAAATTATGTACCGCTGATGCATTTTTGGGTTGTGAGTAAGATCCTGGTATTTCAAAGCTTATATTTTCCAAATAATTTCTGCCCTTGATGAATATTTAATACTGATCCTCTTCAAAGAGAATTTCCTTTTTGATTGAAAATCAGAACATCATCTGAATAACCAATGCCCTAGACATGAGGAATGTTTCACTATAAATTTACAATGACCCAGGAGGAAGTAGAGCAAGCCAGTCTACTCTAATAATGCCCTGCTCACAATTTCCTAAGGATGGGATGTCTAATGGCCTTCTCTTACTTATTAGATGGAAGAGATTTCACCCATCTCTTTCATTCCTTGATCTAAGATCCAACTTCATGCTTGATCGAGAAACAATTTAGGAGAAAAAAACATATAATTTGAGAATCCTACTTCAATCAATGGAGCTTTTATTCTTAGAATAAATTAGAGCAAACAGATTTTTTTAAGACAGGCTGACACTACTTTCATTTTGAGAAGACATGCAAGAGAGAAGGGTTCATGTTTGCAAGACTCTGAAGGACAAAGGGCCAGTTTAAAGGGGTGCATTCCAATGCATTTATCCTACTGCTTTCCACAGTCTGGGCAATGTTTCAACATTGCACAACTGAGCAAACCAGAGACAGCTAGAAAGATGCACATCATATATACATGTATCTGCATAAGCAAGTAAAAAGTGAGTTCTCTGGTTTTTGGTTGTGAAGTGTATTGCGATAATAATAATGTAGCACACAATAAAGTAATTATAGCAGCTAACTAGTGAATTCCCTTCATGTTAATATCAGCTTATGTAAAAATGTTCCAAGCTCTTTATCTTTTTGTGTTTTGCTTGCAACAAATTGGAAAATAACACATTAATGCCAAATGGCCAGCACTCTTGGATTGAGGCTATCTGCCTCCTTCTTGGCATTTAAGCATTTCTGCATGAATAGTGTCCCTAGAACAGAGAAAAGCAGATATTTCCCTTCATTTAAAGTAGAAGGCTGCTCTCCTATGCTGCTGAGGCACTGTAGGGCTGCCTCTCTGAGGGGGCCCGTTTGTGCTGCATCCCAAGGTCTGTTTGTCATTGTTGAAATAACAGACTGCCCCCTCCCAGGGAATGCATCATTATTTCTCCCCACTCTTCATGTGGTCATTCACTTTTAGCCACACTTCACTCTTAGGTGAGGAGCTACAGCTTCAGGAATAAAGGAAGACAGCATTTGCTCCAGTGCTATAAGAGACAGCTGCCTTTTCTCTAAGCCTTTGTAAAATTCATCTCTTTTTTCCCCCTTCCCTTTCATGTCATTGCATAAGCAATTTATAGTAGCATAGGGTGAGTTGAATAGGCTCATTTAATCATTCTGCCAGAGAAAGCCCAAGATCTCTAGAAAAGATAATCACACATGAATTTATACATTGATAAGCAATCACATTCAAACCATGGCCAAAGCAGCATCTTGCTGAATAAAAACCATTAGGCTTGTTTTATTAGGTTAAGATAAATACAGTCCAGCTCTTTCTTTTTCTACTCCATCTCTCCCAATGGGAAAGTTCAATTAATCCATTTATTCTTCCTTGTTGACTGCTGTTCTACCAAATTGGAATGAGAAGATTTTATTGCAAATGCTCTTTTGATTCCATTATTGCTATCTGCCCTATTTTGCTCATTTAAAAATAGTTTGGGACTCATTAAACCGTGAATTACAAATGCTTTAGAAATGGATGTGCAATCCAGAGTCAGTCACACAAAAGAACTTTTATTCTTACTTAATTGAACTAGATTTTTCTCTTTATTGAAGATTTTTCCCATTTTTTCTTAAATTTTAGTGTTGCATACCAAATACAACAATTTCAAAAGATGATAAGCCTGCATCTAAGTTATAAATATAGTTGGAGTCAGACAAGATTTTTATATTAGCTGTAATATGTTACAACAAACTCGTTACAAATGAAGATTTTATGTAGGTAATTCCTTCATAGGTTAAGCACCACTCTGTCTGCTTACTGGGGCCCACTTTTGTGACTGTTGGGAATAGGAGCTTAGAAATGGTATGTTTCTCTGTACTATGCACTGCAGAGGTAGTCTGGGCTGGAGGGTGGTGAGGTCACCTTGATAACTAGCTAACAACTCATTCCAACATCTCCAGTATTTTCTCGTTTTCTGTTAGGCTACATGAATGTGTCCATATTGGAAGCCAGAGAGTCATGGCTTAGGCAATAAATAAATAAATAAATAAATAAATAAATAAATAAATAAATAAAATTGGAGCTAGGAATGAACGTGTCAACATGGGGACCTAGTTTCTGTTAATAGAATCCACTCCTTACCTCTTCAACCAGCTGCAGCATGCGACGGGTGCTTTCCAGGGACTAAGATGGAAAAACATAAACACTGTTAAGGGCAGTAACAGAGCACTAGGAAAGTCAGAAACACTTTCTTCATGTGAGAAACACAAAGGTCCCTATCACACATGACTTCAACTTTGCAACGGAAACACCAAACGTCTTTCCAGTCTTACTCTCTTTCCTATTGGGTTTGCTACATGATCAGATTTCCAAAAGCAATCATATGAAAGCTTATCGTCATAAAACCAAAACCATATGAGGCTGATCATGATATCAAAGGCAAGTAATCTGGACAAATAATTTTGTATGCTCCGGATGCCTGGAAAACTATCTCATATACTTCAAGGTCTACTTTGGCCTCCCTAGATTAGGGATATTGAATTTTAAACACAAACATAAGTTTCATGAGGAGAGATAAATTTAACAAGTTTCCTTTAAAACTCCTAGAAACACAACTGGAAGTTGTTATCAATACAAATTAAGCTGTCGCCTTAGGGTGAAAAAAAAAAATCAAGAAGGTTTGAAATAACCAGCCTGTAGGAGACAGCTGTAATTACGTTTATTCTTAGATAAGAAAAAGCGTGAAGAAAGGTCTGAGCTTGGCAGCTGGTCCCTCAGGCACAGCATCACCACTTTGTTCTCAGGTCCTTTAACATAGTTCCAATGCAACAACCAGTGTGATTTCTCAAAACCATGCTTTCAAGTAGCAAACTTATGTTGGCTGTGTTTCTGCAGGAGCTTGAAGGATGTGAATTTTTGCTGCAAACAACTTAAAGTGGACTCCCTTTTAGTAATAAAATGGCAATTAGCAGTTATGTGTTGGCAAATGCTTAACAACTGACTCTCTGGAAAAGAATGAATACCTTTATATATATTCGCATTTACTGTACTGATATGAAACACGAAGAACACAGAGTTGACACAGCATGCTTGGTTACCAATTCTGTGTAGCAGGTTGATTCTCACAGAAACCTCCTGTCAGTTTTTTGTGTAGTCTCTCTATGGCTCATTATATGATGAACTAGCATAATTCCATCATGGTCACTGGAACTAGATAACTTCACTTATGTTCATGAATAAGAAGAAACCGAAGCATCGAAGACTTATAGAAATAGACTCATTAGTAAAGAAGGTGTCTTGTTGCAAAACAAGTTTCCAAATAATGGAGGACTTCCTCAATTTTTTTATATTTGTAAAAATATTTGTATTATTTGAGAATGCCTTACAATGTATTTTGATTGTATTCACCTCCTCCACTCTTACCCCCAGCTCTTCCTTGATCCAATCCTACCTCCCCACCCCCCAGTTTTGTATAGTAATAACTACAGACATGCATACTTTAAGAGTTTTATCTAGATTATTAACATTTTCCCTTCTGTCTTAACTATAGGTAATCAACAAAACAATAAAGCAAGCGTGATTGATATTGTTTGCCAATGATTGGTTCTAAACAATTGTTTACTGTTTAGTTTCTGAGTGCAGTGTGCTAAACTGACCCTGCAGGTGAAAGCTGCATCAACACTGTTCTATGGGATTTTCACTTCTTACATACAGTGAATGTAAATGACTCAAGGGCATAGATAGCAGAAAAATGTGCTAAACTAACTACAAGCAATGAGTTTTGACCTCATAGTACCATGTCTTCAAATGTACATACACACACACATACACACACACACACACACATACACACACACACTACACCTAATTTTCAAATTATGTACTTCTGTTTTAATAATAGCCATACTTAGCAACCGTCCTGGAAAGTCCCTTAAAGTGTTAACATTCATCACTGAGGTAACTATGGCATGCTGTAAGACATCCAAAGATAGTTTTTCCTAGAGGACCCTGCCCTCTCAAATGTCTAGGATTCATGTCTTAGGGCTAAGACATTAATTTGTATTTGGGCCTTATAATCAACCTTGTTTAGCCTGTAGACATCTTAGAGAAAAAGGAAGTTCTTTCTTCACCTTTACAAAAATTGAGACATTGAAGAAGTCTTTTCTCAGAATCTGAATTCAAACCAGTTTTTGGCTTACCTCCTGCCTCTATCCCTTACCTCATCAGCCAGCTGGTCAGCCCTCCTCTGCATCTCCTCCAGCTCATTGCGCATATCTGCATCTTCAGCCATGGTAGTGGTAGGGGGTTGCTGGGCACCTGGACCACCAGCAAGTCAGCAATGCGTTTGGCTACAGAACCTGAGTAGAAGCAGATTGGAGAACATGAGAGCTAATATATATGAGTCCATACTAGAAAGTCTAAGTGTCACACTGTCACCAGGGTTTAAATAACTTCTGAACAGGAAGCCAAACTCAGACAAGAATTAACACAATTGTGTCAGTTCTCCAAAAAGTACCAGGAATGACTATTGTATCAAACCCATCACTAAAACAGACACATATTGGCATGTTTTGTGATAGTTTTGCATTGTAGTCCAGTTTGGCCTTGGTCTCACCGTCTTTCTGCTTTAGCTTTCAAGTGTTCAAATTACAGGTTGTAACACAAAAATAAAAGGATACAGAGCAGATATCGGGGTGCAACTTGATGATCAGGAAAGCAAAGCAGTCAAGGTCCCAGAGAGCTCTTAACTCTAACAACGCTGGGGTGTTCCTATTCTCGATGCATCTAGAGAATGAATGTCTGACACTGAGACCATGCTCTTGTCTTACATACCTCCCTAATGTTGGAATTAAAGATGTGTGATCCCATGTACTGACATCATCACTGTGTGAACTGTTCCTCTTTAGGACTGGATCAATCTTTTGTAGATCTGGGTAGCCTTGGACTCACAGAGATCTGTCTATGTTTTAATCTTAGTCTTAGGATTAAAGATGCGTACCACTACTTCCTAGCTTCTGGCTGCTGGGATTAAAGAGTATGTGACTGGGTTCTATGGCTTGTGGCTGACTTTGCTTTCTGAATCCACAGGCAAGATTTAATAAATCATAAATAATATATCACCCCCAAACAGGTTCACAAGAACATATATGGCATCATCTAGAGTATTTTTAAAGATGCAAACCATACAAAGCTTGGGAATTATGTGGTGGACAATGCAGGCCATTGTTGTTGTACTTTTTTTAATGTTACATTTATTTAGTTATATTTTGACAGTCTTATTGAGACACAATTGACATATTTAAATACATACATATTTAAATACAGCCCACATATATAAATCGTATGATTGTGAAACACTCAATAACCCACTGCTCTGAAAAAGAAAATGAGCCAGTCCATTAGTCTCCCAAATTTTCTGTATACTCTGTTATTCCACCTGTAATATATTCTTCACACCCTTCTGTGTCTAGGAAGTTGTTGACCTCATTTTTGTCACTATAGTTGATATGTCTTAGGATTATGTATAAATGAAATATTTGGTTTTTCCACTTGAAATTTACCCACATGATAGCACAAGTGCTAGACCATTCCTATTTGTTTGTGCATAGCATTCCATTGTATTTAGATGCATTCAGCATTGTTATTGGAGGTTGTCAAGATTGTGTGCAGATAAACAAATATTATTCAAAGTGGAATGAGTTCAGAGCCTTGAAATATGACCAGCCCACTTTGTGACTACTTATGTGAAACAAATACACAGGAGGATCCTGATTCTTCCAGAGCACACTTCTGTCTTTACTTCCCATTTTACTTCTTTCTTAAGTACTCACTGAGCACACCTGATATCATAGTGTCAGGGAGATAATGATGAACAAGAAAGATGAATTCACCACCTCCACAGAACGGCATTCTAATTGGGAAAAAGAAAATGAAGAGATTCTTACCGCATAAGTCAGGCATCATGCCTATGATGACATAGTGAGCCCCTCTAAGGGCTAATGTCCCCAAAAGAGACCAGAGGAAGAGTCTGAGATAAGTCTTTGATGCTATGCCAACATCTTTGGGCAGAACACCCGATGAAGGCCTGGGCATGTGAGATGGTCAAGCATGCAGTAGAATTTGTCTTTTTTCTTGCAGAGAACATGGTCTCTGAAGAATGGGTGCATAGTTAAGAATTACATTTCTAGTATTTTTGAGGAGATAGCTATGTAGCAAGAGATGGCCATCAGAAGTTGATATTGAACTTGCATTGTTTTCCTGTTAGCAAAAGCAGGGCGACAAAGGATGACTGAGCCACAGGATAGCAGGAACTTGGGTCCTCTGAATCCTTGAAGAGAAGAAAGCTAGCTGCTGACTAGAGACACTTGTGATTCCATAATTAACAACACACATCTCAAGAGCTACGCAACTGGATGTGTACGACACTGTCATACTACTTTCTTACTAAGATGGAATTCCTCTGGGATACAGAAGTGGTACATATTATAGCACCCTGCATTAACCAGCCCTATAAAGAAAGTCTTCTAATTGAGGAAGACTTAAACAGGAAGAATGCTAATGTGAACTAGGAACTGGTTGGCTGTGTGCAAGATCATCACTCTCCCTGACCTCTATTGCTTAAAGCTCATTTCTGAGCTTTTACATCATAGGTGTGTCAACTATAGAAAATTCTGATCATCTTTGTTTGCTAAGGATGCTGGTCCTTAATATTTAGACAGCCTGCTTGTGTAAAATATTCTCATACCCTTTGTTAAGAGTAGAGCCAATCTAGGCGCTGTTCCTTCTCTTCCCTTTAGTAATGGCTGAGGAGCCAGCTGGGCACTGGTGGAAGCAGAAACCAGGGAAACTGGCAGAGTGTGGAGGTGCTGGTCTCCAAGCAGCAGATCTCCCGGGATTGCCACCAGAGAACAAGCACGAACACATCTAACCTTGGCTCTCTTTGTGATGTGCTATTTCTTCTTTCTTGAGTCATCTCCTTCAGTGAACTACTACTTGCTTTTGCTCTTTGTTGGGTAGGGAGTGTATTAGAAAGCAGGGTTCATGTGCTTTCAACCCTACAGTAAACTGCCATTTCCCACTCTACTGGGCTCAGTTGTGGGTGAGATTTAGTTCTCTCTCTCTCTCTCTCTCTCTCTCTCTCTCTCTCTCTCTCTCTCTCTCTCTCTCTCTCTCTCACACACACACACACACACTTCCTGTCTACAGTGTTTCCTTGGTGATCTTTTAAAGTTGCTATTCTCAGCAGGAGAAAAACAGCTGTATGCTCCTGGCTCCCAGGCTGCCAGCCACCTGCCAGGGGGCTGGTTGATGGGCAGGTGGCAGGCTGGCAGGGAAGCCATGTGGTAGATGTTCTTGTATTCCTCGCTTTCACAATTTCCCCACTCCCACCCCCCACCAGGAGTTCCCATACCTTTGTCTCATTCTCACATGCATGCTTGTCAGTGTCTTGGATGGATGGATGGTGAGTGACAGATCTCAGATACACAACATTTTAAAGCAGAGAAAGCAATGACAGCCCTCCTGATGAGAACAGCCAGACAAGAGGCCACTTGCTGGGATGTTTGTCACTACTATTAGATAAATTGTTCCTACAAATCCCAAGCCCATGCATGATTGCATTCTAGGAGACAGGCATCATGGTAACTAGCAGTCATTTCAGTGGCTGAGAGGTTGTTAATAGGGACATAAAATCACTCAGGTAGCATGGAACCTTCATTGCCTAAGCTGGTGGTATGGCCCAAAGGAACAAATCTCACATTGTAAGGGAGGATACAGGGAATTAGCCTCTCAAAAGGCCTCTGAAGCTCTGATGTAAGACAAGCCCTTGCTGATGATTTCAAACCACCAATGCAGAGTCTGGCCCTTACTAGGTGTTTACTTCCTGTTAGTTGACTTTGGAATGGATGGATGTATTATCACAGCAGTCCTTTTAAGGCTCCAAAATCAGCATTTTCAGCTTAAAGTTTAAGACAATGATACTGTAACTCCTGCAGGAGTCAGCATCACCAGAAAGCTCTTTAGGGATGGCTTAGTCATTAAAACTCCAGAGGTTCCAATTTGCTGGGTTTGAGTTGCAGTCCTAGATTTTATGTCTCTACAAACACGCAGGAGGCGTGAATGCTGCTGCTCTGCAGACCACATCTGGCCTTCTTACAGCTAGAGCATCAGTGTCACTAGATAGGGTCAAAAATGGCTTTGCAGTTACACAAATGGGGCATTAGCATGAATAAATCAGTCAAGGGTTATGTAGCAACACAGCTCTCACCTCAAAGAGAGTAAGTGTGGTGAGATATTGTTTATAATTTATTCAAGCTTGCCTGAGGATTCAGAAAGCAGTCAGCCACAGGCCATAGAAGCCAAGCACACACCTTTAATACTAGCAGCCAGAAGCTAGGAGGTGGTGGTACACACCTTTAATTCTAGGACTCAGGATTAAGAAATAAACATATCTCTGTTTATCTACACAAATCTACACAAAAATGAGTCAGTCTAAAACAGAGTTATACCTCACACTTTTAATCCCATCATTATGGAAGTATATAAGACAGAAGCAAGGTCTCAGAGAGGCAATTATTCTCCAGCCACATTGAAGTTAGGAAAATATTCATTCACCAGCCATGCTGAGGAGAGGCAGCAGTCTGAGGCTTGGTGAGAGCTCATGGAGACAGGATCAGCCCATTCAGTCTGAGGTAGAGGTAAGAAGCTAATAGCCAGCTGCTTTGCTTTTCTGATATTCAGCTTGAAATTTGAACCCCAATATCAGCCTCAGGGTCATTTATCAATTTGTGTTACAAGTAAGAGACAGTAAGAGAGAAAGAGACTCTGAACCTGAATTTGGGTTATTGTGACCCAGGACATAGGCTTAGGTTACTGTGATATCCGTTGTTCCAATGTGGAAGTAGTTTCAGAAAGTTTTTAATGGTCATGGAACAAATAAAACTATATATCAAGGCATTTCTAATATCTGTTGGTAGAAACATCAGAGATGCAGCTACATTGAGGTGGAGGAATCTAATAGGCCTCAGATGTTGTTTGATAACATCCTTAACTCTGATTAGTAGAGAATAGGGTTTCCTTAAGTTAATGTATTACAAAGGCTCTTATCTATTTATCAGGATGTCATGTCTGACTGAAAGGTGAACAATAAGTAGCTCTTTAGGGAGATAAAAAAAGTTGAGAGAAATTTAATTAGGCTCTGGTCCTGCAACATCCCAACCTCTCTATAGTCCTTACAGTTTAGTCAGTTAATCGGCTGTGTAGACAGCTTCATTCCAGAGATTCTCACCTTCCCAGTCCTCTGCACCAAAACCGTCTTGCTGTTTGTTTTTGTGTGTGACTTAGGCTAAGCCCTGCCCCC